TTCGGACCACAACACCTACTTCTCTCCGGACTACAGACCTGAGTTGTCATTCTGTCCGAAGTGTTAAGGGAGGACACTCCTTCCTTCTTCCTTCTTTTATTTCCTACATTTTGTATTTGTGTCCAACAATAATTTCAAATTCTGCCTCCTTCAGTGGGTCGATTATTACACAAACTGAATATGTGTTTTGCTTTAAACTGTCAACCCTCTCAGTACTTTCTCAGTAGTTTGTTTACATAGTAATAGTTACACTATTTTCTCAAATTTGCTCCTCCGCTATTCTTTTTTCTTTGCTATATGTGTCCTGTGCTGTTAGAGAGTTCATGGCGTTAACTGTATTAAACAGGGGATTAACGCCCGGGGCTCTGGAATCTCTAGTAATAGCAGACGGATATACTGATCAAAGGCCTCTAACTGTGCCGTGGGTGTTCGGACTGCCTCTGTCTGCTTCGCTGCATTACAAGAAGATGGGGCTTGGAGGCTGGGGCACACAAACAGACAGGCATTGCAGAGGCTTTCTGTAGACTTACTTCTGATTGGACAGGTGAAGGTTTGATCATGCATAATTAGGGCACGAAGAACAATTCGGTAGAGGACGTATAGGAGGAGCAGTTGTATCTGCAGGAGGGTTGCCCCTAAGGCCTAGCAGCTAAGCGTACATGTTCAGTATGTATGTGCATATGTATGTGGGCAAGAGTGTTTATTCTGCGTTCATGCATGCGCATATGTGCAGCACCCGTCAGGGGAGCTCAGTTCCCCTCATGCTGTGTCCCAGAGGACACGTCTGACACTTCCTCCAGGTTGCCCCACTTCCTCGCTCTGTGTTGACGGGACCGGTAGTCAGAACTGCTCAGCAGCAGCTGATTTAATCCAGAGGAATATACAGCCATTATTATCAAAGCATTAGATATGCATGTTGGATGTTTAAGAAGCTGCCGCATTCATATAATGCTGAACAATTATTTATTTTTCAAAACTAGCATTACAGCTATTATTGTATGTACTGGGAGATATAATAGTAACTCTGCACACACACCTTTAACTAAAACTGTTCATTTTTTTTAAATTTCCCTTTTTTTTTAATCTGCTCATGCTTTACATTGACCTAGAAAGGTGTGGGTAATGAGCACCAGGTCGATCCTTAGTATATCACTGATAATACATGTGTGCTTTACATTTGCTCTCATCTACTTATTGCAGTATATTTAGCTGCAGTCATTAGGGAGTTGGGGGATGCCTGCTACCCATAGCATTTGTAAATTTATATCCCCCCTAACTCTGCCATATGTTCATGCTCTCACAAGCTTACCAGATCTTTAAGTGCGACTGCTAATAATACTCCTCCTACAACCACTTCTGCTTTTACTGCCTCATATATTTTTTTGACAAATATACACCTCTGAAAGAAAAGACAATTAATGAACAATAAAATGTACTCTCCAAAAATAATAATGTGTATATGGAATTCATGTCATCGGGGATCAAAAGGAAAACATAAGACAAGAATTTGCATTGGTGGTTAACACATTAGAGAATCCTGTTCAATTTCAAACCGTTCTTAATCGCATCTTAATTTAAAGCTGCGACGCCACTTTTCAAGTCAAAGTCAACTTTGCTGCATCAATTTGCAAGTTCTTCCATTATCTGCATCTGGCAGAATCAGCTTTTTTTCCATGTTGGGAGGGGCTGCGGTCGGCGAAGGGGGGGGCATTGAAGCAACAGAAGCAGAGAAACCTGGAATGAGTGTGAAATAAAGAGCGTGTATGATGAAGCTGGTAAAAGGCCGTGAAAGTAGGCTCCCTGCCGATTCTGTGGAGCGATGAGATGAGGCCAAGCCCAGTTCTCGCTAATAAGTGTGAGGAAGTGCAGCCAAGAGGCCTCAGCCAGTAGCCACACAACACCTATTATCAGCCTTTCTACCAGACATCCATGTGTTTCCATTTACAGGGTATTGTTTAAACTGTGGGAAGGTTCTTCAGTGTGAGCGTGTTGACACCTCTCTCCTTGTGTCTGTCAGTGCTGACAGTCTTTAATAGTCTTGTGGAGGTCAGCCTCCTGCCATGTGTGGATAGTTGGAAGAGAGGGGCCGGAGTACATGAGGACAATCTCGCTCTGCCGACACCCTGCAGAAGGACAGGAGAGAGGAATGCTTCTGTTGGTGCTATTTTGTGGCCTGTAATTGTCTGTAAGGTCTGTAAAATAGGATAGTAGAGCAGAGAACTGCACTGTAATGGCAGGGGCCAGAGGTTCTGACAGTCCACAGGGGACAGACCTAGAAGGCGTGTGCTGAGCCAAGGAGAGAGAAAAATAAGGATGTTTGTTGTGTAGTTTTTTTGTGTATGTGTACGAGACATATTCCAATAGCAGTTTACACTACAGCAAATGTCGTTTTTTTGTTCATTTAAACAGATCCAGTCTTGGGAGGAAGGGCCCTGCTGGTGGTATCAGGCTTGGCCCTGACCCCAGTGGATATAATGGTGCAGTGGAAAATGTGCTGTCAGTTGATGGAGGAGCTGCCTGTAGCAGCAGGAAGGAGTGTGGCGACAGGGGCCATGTGTGTTAACCTCCTTCCTTGTCACCTTTTTCTGTCTTTCTCCCCACCCCACCTCTTCTTCATCTCCACCTTTTTCTCTTTCCCCTTTCCGCCCTCGTCCCCCCCATCCCCCCCAGACTCCACTCCCTCTACCTACACTCCTCCATGACAAATTACTCCTGGCGGTTGATTTGTTGGTTGTCAAAAGTGCTCCTTGCGCTGGCATGAAGGTGGAGTGAGCAGCAGAAGAGGGTGCACTCCACCCACCCCCTCTCCTGTTCTGCCTGTCGTCATCACCAGTCCCTTGTCTCCCCTCCCATCTCGCACATGTGTGTCGCCACAGCTCAGTGTTGAGATGTCTCAGTGGAAATTGATATTCTGTCTCATAAGATCTCATCAGATTAGATGTTGTCCATGTTTAATCAGTTCACACATTAGGTTTCCAACCCTTCTTTTGACAAGGCTGTTTGATATGTTCTAGCTTGTGTCAGGAGCAGAAGAGAGGTTTGAGGAGAATCTTTTGTTATTTATGGGGGAGGAGCAGAAAAGAAAAATGCGAGCGAGAGATAAAGACTTTATGACAGACCTGTATAAATGCCAGTGTTTCGGATAAGCTGGCTAGTAAGGCAGCAGCAGCTTCTAACAAAGTAATCTTTTGTTGATGATCTGATGAATTAATAGAATAACCTGCTTTAGAGACTAATGTACACCTCCTCTTGCCATTTCTGTATGGGTGTGAATATGAAGACACTTGAGCTGCTAAATATTTACCAAACAACATATATACAGTAGGGCTGGGTGAAATATATGCTCAGGTGTATGTGATATTGTGATATATGTGATATTAGTATGATATGATCAGTATGGTTACCTGTGTATATATAATCTAACCAAATAGGAATTGGCTTATCGAGCAAATTAAATACCTGACAAATGAAGGTATTTAATCACATTGATTCAAAAAACCAGAGAATCCAATACTGCCATAAAGCAGTCCTGATCATTGATTTGTAACATAGCCACCAATGGCCTGATAGAGCCAGAGATATTAAAGGAATAACCGTAGCATCCCCGACTGAATGCTGGTTGAGTAACTGTTTAAGTCATTTGTTAAAGTAAAAACATTATTTGGTTTTGGCTTTTACAGTGCCTCAGATTTTATGCTTTTTTTCAGTTTTATATCGTTATAAACTAAATGTCTTTGGGTTTTGGACTGTTTGGACTAAACAAGACATTTAAAGATGTCCCCTTGGGATACTGTGATGGGCATTTGTTCCCTATTTTCTGACATTGACATGACATTCATGGACTGGACAAATAATCGGAAACAGCTCAGCAAAATCTCTGACAGATTTCTTTTGTTTGTGGACTCAATATGTTCACATGTGCAGGATACTAGGCTTTAAATAACTTCCTCTGGAGTCCTTTGACCTTGGGATTTGTCCTGTTAAGTGGATGATGACTGTGAGCTGATGCCTGTACACATGGATTTGTCTTAACTTGTACGAATAGAACAATAATCGCCATTGTTGAGCTCAGTCAACAAGTAATATTTGAACTGTTGTCTCCCATTAGTGTGTCAGTCCCTTTTCACATTCAGTAGGTGACTTGTTTCTACGGTATCACCTGACAGTCCGTGATGATAAATTGATGGTGCTGTGTGTGGAGTGTGTGTCAGTCAGATGGTGCGTTGTCTGTAGCGACAGCTGTTTAAGCTCAATCTGAGGTGATTTTACTTCATCGTCGGGTGTTTGCCGTTTTGAAAAGAAACTCATCTCCTTTCAGTCCCACTTGCTGCTTTATTCACTAACTGTTTCTCCTTTGTGCAGTTTCCTCTTTTGCAAAAGTAATAGAATATCAGTTTTCCTTTCAACTCCAGCTATACAGAAGCTAGATTGCTTTGTGCATCGCCATCAAAACACAGAGGAGAGCATTGCAATCCACTTGTGTTCAAAAGTCTGAAACCATCTTGTCTCTCTGTCTTTGTGTTAAAAGAGGGGTTAAGCTTTTATCCTATAAATATGGCACAAAATCCCACTGTCAACGACACATTCATTCTAAGGCCTGCATTAACATAAAAACGAGGGCTTGTTATACAGTGAGATTTCAATAAAAAGAACACAAAATGCATTTAATGAAATTCAGATGCTGGGCCCTAGCTCCCTGAATCTCATTAAATGAGCTTTGTGCTGTTTTTCCATCTTCTCTTTGTAGAAGAGGTCCTCGAGTGCCCTTAATAATGTGGCAGATTTCATCATTTTCCTGATTTAAAGAGGACAATGTCTGTCTTGTTCACTTGTTCTTTTCCATGCCCAAGCCAATCTCCACAGATGTACTCGCATAGTTTCTGGATCTGGCTCCTGATAATATTCCATCTTGTGGTGCATTTTCTTTTAGTCACTGGAGTTTTGTTAAGGCTCTCCACTAACTCATTCTCCCCCCCCCTTCTCTGTTTCTCTCTGCATAGGATTTGGTTTCATAACTTTTGAGAGTGAAGACATCGTAGAGAAAGTCTGTGAAATTCATTTTCATGAAATCAATAACAAAATGGTAAGTCCACTCATTTTTTTTTTCTATTCCAGGTGGGCATTGAAGGATTAATATTTGATTTCTTCTTTCCCCTAGTATTAATAGCAGAGGAGGTGCGTGTGTGTGTGTGTTCATGTTCATATGCACAGGCGAACACACATACACACACACTCTGCGGGTCTCTGGGTCTCAGGGATGGGAAAGCAGTGGTGTGTACTGCCCACAAACCGTGAAATTGTGTGGCTGAGTTCTGCCTGTCAGGCTGAGGGACGGGAGAGTGGAGCCTGTCCCTCTCTTTCTGAATCCCCTACCACACACACACACACACACACACACACACACACACACACACACACACACACACACACACACACACACACACACACACACACAGGTGGAGATGTCCAGGGATGCAACAGGGAAGCTACTGGCAGAGACAGAGTTCATTAGTCAGGGATTAACACCTTCCACAGAGTCCCAGTGATGCTTGTTTTATTTACACCAGTAGCATGGTCATCTTGGAGCACACTGCAGAGTTCAATAGCCGTTTTCTAAGTCATCATGTTACTTATGATAATTGACAGGAACTGACTTCAGTGTAGCAACTGTGACATTAGGTCCTCCTTCACCCAGTTTCACCCTGCAGGCCTCTTGGGAGATCCTGCATCATTTGAGCGGTTCTGTGGACTGTGATTGACTGGAGGGAATACTTGTCTTACTGCCGTTCAGTCGGGCTCCTTCTCTCAGTGTGTGTCTTCACTCTCTCCCAGCCTTTTCCTAAACTGACTGACTGGCTGCGTGACTGACGGGATCAGTGTAGTAGAACCATGTTCACCAGGGACCAGCCCAGGTCACATATGACCCCAGTATACATCCCTCCATGTCTCTGCGCTGCATCACAGTTGATGCTCATGACTGAAACCAAAAAAGCCGTTGTGTGACAGAAATAACTGTATGCGTATGGAAGATATTCTGTCGCAATCAAATGTCTCAGATCCTTTGACATGTAGGCACAGAACTCTGTGAACACACAAATGTCACACATCAACATGAAGCATGAATGCACACGCCACAGCGTCTATTTATGCACACAAAGCATAACAATTGCTGCCAATGCTGTCAATTCTTGATTTCAAAAACTATTCCAGCGCAGTTTATGTTACAAAAATAGTTAATAAGACATTTGTTTACCAACAAATCTGATATAAAATCTCTGGAGTATGAGGTTGTTATTTTCTGTGTCCCTCTCCAACTTTTACCATGCAGAAAAATGAGCCTCATTTAAGTCCAACTCACAGCCTATCTCTAAGAAGTTCTAATTGGATAATAATTGGATTGTAAACAGTAGTGCTAATTAAGAATGCAAGTTAACTTAATAAATAGTAGACCATGTAAATGTTCAATAATGTAGTAATCATTCTTAATTTATAACAATTTACATTGGCTGCTTTCACAACACAACATTAATTAATTAAGGGGTTTGAATCAGGAGTTTAAAAAAATCCACGTAAATTATTTGAATTATAAAGTAAACACAAAATAATGTAATCCCTCAAAATTGTTCTGTCAATAATCGACAGATTGTCTTATAATTATGCTAATTAGAGAACCAAAATTAGATGAGAGTAACTATGCTGGACAGCTCTAACACACCAATGGCCCTAGAGTCAGTTTTTGTTTTGTCTGTACTGGGCTACTGTAGGCCGCCATGTAGGCGTCCTCCACGGCAGGCAACCCGCTGCGTCTGTGGCTAGAAACGGTTCATTCAGAGGTAAAACACAACTATTCTTATTTTTAATTGATAACACACTAATGAAAATATACCTAAGAATAATGTATTCAATTTTTGCCAATAGATCCTCCTAAATGTTACACATTGGACCTTTAAGATTTCACTTGATCTGGCGACACCTGTGGTTTCTAGGGGCAACAGCAGCAAAACACTCCTCAAAAGGCTAATTTGTACCGAAACATAAGAGCAACTGCTGCATTTGTTTACGGTGTAGCCATTTAAACTATTTTTATAAAGAACTCAGGCAGTAATTGGCCTTTTTCCATTATTCTGTGAGCAACTGTGACTTTATGCTGCACACAAGTCTGCGAAAGCAGTTGGTTACCTCCCTGAGAAGCTCGCCTGCAGCTCTTCTTCTACCAGCTCACTGTGGCCGCTCCTTCTTGTTCCATTACTCCCTGCAATATCTCAAAATGATTCGCTGTCAAAAAAAATGCCAAAAGTGACCATTTTTGATGAACAATAGCAGTCAGTGTCAATCTCGCTTCCTTCATAATAAAAGTCAACCCATGTTTCACCTTTTGAAATGCTTTTAATGTGAAGCTGCAGCAGTAGGAAATGTACCATCAGCATTAGCATCTTAATACAGCATCTTTTCCTGGAATGTCGCCGCAGACACCCAGTTTGCAATACTGCAAATATATAAATATTGCAACTCTTTCATCAGTATGCAGTGGGCTCAATCACCATTGTTTTACTCATTGTGCAATAGATAACACATTTAACAGACATTTGTTTAAATGAAAATCTTTGAGATTATTACTTTAAGCTGTTCCCTTCATAAAAAGCCTTTATGCTTCTCCTGGGGACACATGCCTCCAAACCTGCAAGATCACCAGCAACAAACTTGCTTATGTCTGCCCTACTGTTTGCATAGAGATATAGTCAAATGAATTCCCTTCTTTTAAAGAAGCACTTTGTAGGGGCTTTCACCTGTAAGACATTATTCAAGATAAATAACACCACTTGCCTTCCATTCGTTCTTTTTGGCTGTATAGGTTGCATTGTACCTTCCAGCCACAATTATTGTTATTAGAGAGAGATTTCATGGAAAGAAATGTACAGAAAGAGCTAAGAAATTGTAGGTTATTTTTGTTTGTTCATCCTCTGATCCTGTATCTTGCCAGCAACTTCAAAGCTTTCTCTGATGCATCATCTAACAGTCAGTGTTTACATCTGACTTGCTGATGTGTCACAGTCATGACAGTTGCTATTATTGTTATCAATATTTAGTCAAACTTGCTACTAAAGGGCGTAGTGTAAAATAAGTTTTTAAAAAAAATTAAAAAGATTAGCTGGAAGCTTCTAGTCTCTTGCACTTGTGACCACATGCAACTGTGATGTGATACACTGTTGTGCATGGTGACATGACACATATGGAAAACCATGTGACCCATCTGGGAGAAATCCAGAAACCTTAGCAGAAAAGATGAGGATTATTGAGGGGACACAGTGTGAAAGGACAGAGCAAGGGCCAGTTTTCGGAGGCTTTTGTCACCTTTGTAAGGGTCCCTCTTGGCAACACCTACTGTACATTCAATTTCCTAGTATGCAGGAAATAAGTGTGCCCCTCAGATCTTCTACAATGTGCTGACATCCTGGAATGTCTGCAAAGAGAGAAGAATGTGGAGTGTGTTAAGAGCATTTTTCAAAGACACTTCAGGCTTTACCTTAGTTGCACAGAAAGGAGGGTACTGGTTATCCGGTGTCTGAAGCACCAGCACACAAAATAAAAAATGCCTCCTGTCTTCATCCTTATGAAGTACTATACAGAAATAGACCTCATCCATCCTGCCCGCGAGTGTTATCTAAGATGGTTCTTGAATAATTGATGCAGACAGAAATTCCACCCCACTTGGGAGGGTTGTGGATGTACAGGGCACCCCACCTTCTCCTTGCCCGATCTCTCAAGGGCTCTGGCAGTGTAGTGGGTCAATGCCCACTCAGATGTGAGTGACTGGACCTTTTAGTGACTTGGTCAATCACCCTGTGTTCATGTGCCACCAAGGCCTCACTCTCAGGAGCACTCTGTCTCTCTGTCTCTGTGAGTTCTGCCTCATATATAATTAAAAATAGGGTGCTGCTTAGCAAGAAGCTCTCCAACCTGCCCCACCAACCTGACTTCTACATTGCCCTCATCTCTGGAAACTGCAGGATGTGATAAAAGTATGGATTGTCCTGTGCAGGTGTCCACATGATCTTAGAAACATTCTTTAGCGAGAGTAGTATTAAAACCTGTAAATATGTTGGAGTGAAGATCAATAAGCAGAAGATGGCTTGACAGTTTATCACACCCTCTGGTTTCCCCATATACCAATGTCTATATCACACTGTAGTAAGACAGCACTGTGACACAGCTAAGGGAAGGTTGTGAATTCCATTTTCTAAGACAGGAGTCCCTCTATCACTCCCCACCCTGCCGTTATGCACGCACAGCTAATTCATAATAATACCTATCAAGTATTGGCTCTGATGAGCGAGCAGTGTGCCATTAAAATGGACTCACATTGGTTTTAGTCAAGTGCTTCAAGGTAATGTTCTTTAATGTGTCATTTTTAATATTCAACGGTAGCGAATGATCACAACAGGAGGGAGGAATTTTCTGTTAGTCGTCAATTTCTCACTGTGTCTTCATGACATGACCAACCAATTACTGAGCTGAGGAGGAGAATGTGCTCTGACTCTGCCAGTCGTTGAGGAAAAGACAAATGCAGGGAGGCATTTATACATCAACCTTTAATATATAGATACAGATGTACTCTGCACATTGTACTGATATAAAGGGAACTGAGCCAGCACCATATAGTGCGTTTTTTAATTGAAGGAGCGGAAAGAAAGCATTGTTTTCTTAAACAGTTGTCTTAATATTAGTCCCTAATACAGTGTCACTTGTAAATCTAAAAAAGGACACAAAGCTGGGTTCATTATTTAGTCTTTTTCATATTTTTATTCATGAGTTTATTCATGTTTTACAGCAGTATTAAGCTTAAATATAACAATATTAATAATAATATTAAGAAGAAAATATTATATTATTAGTAATATAATTTAAAAAAAAATTAGGACTCAACTAATTGTAGAAGTGAGTGACAATATAATGCCAACAGGGTAAAGTAGGCTACTGTAGAGACAACTTTTAAACTCACTTTTTAAAGTGTTTCAGACACACAGTGAGGAGGGAAAAGCTGGAAGTTGCAGTAAGTAGCTAGAGGTGAATTTTGCCGGCCTG